ATGGTAAGCATAGTTATTGTATTCTCACTATTAACTCCATTATGTGGATCCCCGCAGGTCTGTTTGTTTTGTATACTGTTTTGCTGTTTCTAATTCTTGTTATCATGGTTCCTTGTGTGTCTGGGTAATTTCTATTTTGCTCCCAACATACTATTGGCAAAATTGTTTATAGAAATAACTGGAGACCTAAGTTTATGTAATCTTTCTCCAGGAAAGATTTACCTTGGCTCCTTTTAGGCAACCAAGAGCTATGCTATTTCAAGTCCCTGTGAGGGACTGCCTGCTTCTGACTCACCCTCATTGCTAGTGGCAGCCTTTTCGGATCCCAGCCCAAAGTGAGAGGGGTTTACCCATGACCTCCTCCTTTTCAGGCCCTGCTCTCTGATCTCTGTCCTGCCAGCCCCCTGAGGCTGCCAAAACCTCTACCCAGATCCCATCTGCTTCCTCTGGAGTTGGGAAATTCCCCCAGGAAAAAGGACTTCTCAGACCTGGAAACTTCCACGGTCCTGCTAGATTCTGGTCCCCATAATTCTCCACCGTCTTTAAGCAAAATTTTTAAAATATTTGAATTGCCGATTCTAGATGTCTGCAGCATGGGTGTTGGTTTAAACTAGTCCGTCATTACTGAAGTGGAAGCCCTAATATCCTCTTTTTATAAATTAGATAATTAGGTCCAGAGAGACTATCATAGTTAGTTAAGAGCAGAGACAGTGAATGCCCAAGTGTCCTGATTCTGTGTGATGCTTATTCTCTTTTTTAAAATAAATACAGCTTGCTTGCTTATTTATTTATTTATTTAGATGCATTTATTTAAATTTTAGCTAATATACAGTGCAATATTGGTTTCAAGAGTAGAATTCAGTGATTCATCACTTACATACAACACTCAGTGCTTATCATAAAAAGTTCCCTCCTTAATACCCATCACCCATCTAGCCCCTCCCTCGCTGACCTCCCTCCATCAACCCTCAGTTTGTTCTTTATTGTTAAGAGTCTCTTGTGATTTGTTTCTCTCTCTTTTCTTCCCCACCTCTTCCCATATGTTCATGTTTTGTTTCTTAAATTCCGCATATGAGTGAAATCATATAGGATTTTTCTTTCTCTGGCTGACTTATTTCAGTTAGCATAATGCTATTCTAGTTCCACCCACGTCATTGCAAATGGCAAGATTTCATTCTTTTTGATGGCTGAGTAATATTCCATTGTGTATATATACCACATCTTCTTTATCCATTCATCGGTTGATGGCCATTTGGGCTCTCTCCATAGTTTGGCTATCGTTGATAATGCTGCTATAAACATTAGGGTGCATGTGCCCCTTTGAATCTGTATTTTTGTATCCTTTGGGTAAGTAGCTAATAGTGTAATTGCTGGATCATAGGATAGTTCCATTTTTAGTTTACTGAGGAGCCTCCATATTGTTTTCCAGAGTGGCTGCACCAGTCTGCATTCCCACCAGCAGTGCAAGAGGGTTCCCCTTTCTCCGTATGTGATGCTTATCCTGTTACACCACTGCCAAAGTGTACAGATAGATTTAGTAGCATTTTGATATTTGCTGTGCTAGTGACACTCTCTTAGTTTATTCATCAAGCAATAAAAGCCCTGTAGCCCTCACATAAATAGGACCCCCACCTCCCTTCCCCATCCCATTAAGATTGTTTTAAATTTACTTAAACTTTTAAAAAGTGAGCCACACTGGGGCAGCTGGATGGCTCAGTTGGTTAAGTGTCCGACTTCGGCTCAGGTCATGATCCCACGGTTCATGAGTTCCAAGCCCGTGTCAGGCTCTGTGCTGACAGCTCAGAGCCTGGAGCCTGCTTAAGATTCTGTGTCTCCCTCTCTCTGCCCCAAACCCCAATCATGCTCTGTCTCTCCTACCCTTTTGCTCTCAAAAATAAATAAGCGTTAAAAAAAAAAAAGATTTTAAAAGGGAGCTGCAGTCTTTCCGTATAAATCTTCCATTACAGATTCAGTGAACGTTTTGTCATTCATCACTATTTGTAAGATTCTGCTTGTACTTTATAACAATATCGATCCTTTGCTTAATACCTAAGCCAAGTATTGGTGTTCCAGAATAGGGAAGAAGTATCAGTTGTCTGTTAATTCATAACAAACCACCCTCAAGTCTAGTGCCTCAAACAACGGTTTATTGTGTCTCATGATCTGGGGGGTTCACTAGCCAGTCCCGCTGGGCTCACCAGGTGGCTATGGTCAGCTGAGGTTACATGGTCTAAAATGGCTCACTCACATGCTGGGTGACTGGGATACCTTGGCCTCTTTCTTCATCTAGTTTTTAGTCCTGGATTTCTTCACATGATGGAAGAAGTGTTCCAAAAGTTCAAAGCCTCTCAAGGATGAGTCTCCACAAATAACCCAGTATCACTTCTGCCATATTCGGTTGGGTAAGACACATCACAAGGGCAGTCCAGATCCCAGGAGTGGGGTGGAAAATTCACCTCTCGTTGGGAGGTACAGCAAAAAGCTGTTTGTTTTTTAAATCTGCCACAGGTGTGATGAAAAGAGGCAGGTATGCTAGGCAGAATAATGGGCTCTGCATTTCAGCTCCAGGTCTCTGTGACCCCAACAGAGTGCCCTACAATTCAGTTCAATCCTGACACTAACTCCCCAGAACAGCCAGATGAAGAGATACACAGAGCAACAAGATCTGGAGGGTCTGGGCATCCGGAAAGCAAGAGCCTCTGCCCCTGTGGAGATAGGGTCCATCACCCTCCCCATGGGATGATATGTTCGCCAACCAGAAAGTTCCTTGGAGCCTCGGTGTCTGAGTTTTTTAAAATCAGGGTTTTATGACCTAAGCATGACTGGTGAAATCTTGAGTCTGTGATTGGACTCAACCTGCAGCCTTCCTCCCCTCCCTGGAGGTCAGGCTGCTGAAAGTCCCATCCCTCTAATCCTGTGGAGGGTTTTTGTGATGACTACACTCCCCCTCCCCCCCCCCCCTTGTCCTGGAGCTGTGTGGGAACTGGGTCTGAGTTGTTTCATTAGCATAACAAAGATACTCCTACCACTGAGGAAATTCCAAGGGTTTTAGAAGTTCTGTGGTAGAAACCTGGGACAAAGTCCAGAGAGGCGGGGGTGGGGGGTTGAGATTTTATTAGAGCCCCCCAAGGTTGTCCATGCCTGACTCCCCAGAACATGTAAACATGTTATGTTGCATGATAAGGTGGAATGAAGGTTGCAGATGGAGTAAAGACTGCTGATTTTTGACCTCAAAATAAAGACATTCTCCTGCATTATCCAAGTAGGCGCTATGTAAATTTAAGAGTCCTTCAAAGGGAAAGAAGGATGCAGAAGAGTCAGAACCAGGGAGATGGTATATCATTCAAAAGACTCAGCAGGCTGTTCATTACTGGCTTTCAAGATGGAAGGAGGCCATAAGCCAAGAAATGTGGGCAGCCTCTAGAAGCTGGAAAAGATAAGTGGGTTCTAAGAGTCTCTAGAAAATAAGAGCCCTGCTGACACCAGGATTTTTAGCCCAGCGAGAACCATCTTAGACTGCTGACCTCCAGAACTGTATGAGAATAAATTTGTGTTGTTTTAAGGCACTAAATTTGTGGTGCTGTCGAAAAGCAACCTCCGTGTTTCGGAGCCGAAGTATAACTCGCGAAGACAGAGTTTGGGATAAAGGGGAATGACAGCTTTATTGCGCAGCAGGCCAGGGCCTTCAAAAACTGCCAGCCCTCCCAGAAGAAGGGGCTGGGGCGTTTTATAGGGAAACACAGGATCTAGCCTGTTCTGACAGCAGTTGTGTAGGTGATACCAGCCCCCTTCCTCGTGTCTTTAGGCTGGGTACCAAGTTCCTGGAGCAAAAGGCTAAGAAGGGAGGAGGGAGGTTTGAGAAGAGACGAAGAAGGTTCCTTTAAGATCCAACCTCACTGGAGCGTTAGTGCAGCTGTTTTGATTTTTGTTCAACTTTGTGCTTTTAAGCAGTCTCCGTGGTAATCTGCAGCAGCAGCAATAGAAAACCAATACAGTAGGGCCTAGAAGAAGGAAGAAAGTGGCATTCTTTTTTCATCATGGAAAGTAGCATGATAAGTCTATACTTGGAGCTTCCTGTGTAGATGTTGAAAACTCACTCCGTTCAGAATGCAAGTAACTTCTCATTCTTCAAATCTCTCCTACTTCTTAAATTATTTACTACTACTTTTTACCTCCAGCCCACAGTGGAGCTCAAAATTGCCTAATTATCTACAGAAGACTCTATCTCTTAATTAAAGTGCATCTGTGCGTCTGCTAGGTAATAGATCAGAGAAGGGAACGTAACTCTTTACTCTGCAAGTAGGATACATTTGACCTCCTTGATTCATCCAGTGATAATTTGTTACCTTCAGCAGACCAGGATCTATGCCAGCACAGTTTTATACTTAAAAGGAGTTATGATCTGATGCATGGTACAAAACTTAATTGGCCCAAAGGGAGGGATTTCTTGCTAGGCTCTTTCTTAGAGTCCCTGACACCTACAGGAGGTTCTGCAGCTTCTCTCCTTATAAATTTTAATCTCGTTTTCAAAAGCACAAACTACTGTGATGATGTCAGTGGTGGTGATGATGGTGGCTGACACTATGGAGCACTTGCCATGTGCCAGGGCTGTGCTTACGTTGCACATTCTTCATGGCAGTTCATCTTTAGCACGGCTCCTGCCTCTTTCTATTAAATTACTCTTTCTGGTACTTTTTAACCTTCTTTCTGTCAAGACACATAAACTCAATGTTTACATGTCTCAACTGTTTACCCCTTAGTTTTATCCCCTTTCTACAATTCCTGATGATTCCTAGAATATAATAAAGCAAAATTTTAGCTAAATGCACAAGAACTTCCAGTCTTGAAGGAGAAGGAAGAATAACTATTCCCAAGTTTATGTCTGAGAAATTGGAGGCACTGAGCTTAATTTGACACAATTAACACTAATTACACGTTAGCATCCTTCGTTTGGGATTTTTCTCCAGTGAAACTTACCATTTGCTGATTTATTTCTTTAGGAGCCCTATTATGTACGTTGCATCAAACCCAATGACAAGAAATCCCCACAGATATTTGACGATGAGCGCTGTCGCCACCAAGTAGAGTATCTTGGACTACTGGAAAATGTGAGGGTGCGGCGGGCGGGGTTTGCCTTCCGCCAGACCTACGAGAAGTTTCTTCACAGGTGAGAATGGACTAAACAAAGAACCTGGCAGACCCTGAGAACTCCGGAGTGCTCCCCGTGTGTGACGCTTCGTCAGCACGTGTCAGATAGTCTAAGTATCTGTTGAAAGAGGAAGAGTTGAGGGAAGCGCAAATATGAAAGACTTTCTCAGAGTCAGCAGGAGACTCTCCCTGAGTCTGCGGTTTATGGGCCGTGAGAAAAGATTCATTCTTTGGGGAGAAGATGTGGGCCGTATAGCATGGGAGGAAGATCATGGACTCGGAGGCACATCTGGGTTGGAATCCAGGGTATGCCACTCATTTGCTGTGTGATCTTAGGCCAGAAATTTAATGTCCGACTCTGTTTCTGCATCTATAAAATGAGTATAATAATACTACCTCATTAAATTAGCCTAAGTAAAAAAGCTAGGTGCCTGGCACATAATGGATGCTCAATTAATGCTGCTTTGTCATTACCAGTATTAGTAATTATCATAACAACAAAATATTAAGCAATTAATCATGAAGACCTTGAAATTAGTCTACCTGGTTTGAATCCTGGCCTTGCTATTTCTTAGCTTTTTGACCTTGGGCAAATCACCTAATCTTTCAATGCCTCTGTTTCCTCATGTATAAAATGGAGGTAATAATAGTAACTACTTTTTAGGGTTTCTGGAGCATTAAATAAGATTATATCTATACCCATATCCATATCCATATGTATATATCTATATCTATAAAGCACTTAGAATAGAACCTTTATTGGAGCGCCTGGGTGGCTCAGTCAGTTGAGCGTCCGACTTCAGCTCAGGTCATGATCTCACGGCTCGTGAGTTCGAGCCCCGTGTCAGGCTCTGTACTGACAGCCCAGAGCCTGGAGCCTGCTTCGGATTCTGTGTCTCCCTCTCTCTCTCTGCCCCTAACCCACTCGCATTCTTTCTCTGTCTCTCTCAAAAATAAATAAACATTAAAAAAAAAAATTTTAAATAGAACCTGACATATAGCAGTCATTCACTATATGTAAGATATCATCACTGCTGTTATTTATTGTTAGTCGTGATGATGATAGTGGACAACTGGGACTCATCAAGTCCCTTTAAATTCCATCTGTTTATTTATCTAAAAACATTCATTGAACATTTTCTACAGACTACAGATTCCACAAAATGTGAATAAATAGATAAAATATTGGTTGGTCAGAAGAGTCTCTAAGGAGATGATGCAAACAGGAACCAGCCATACAAAGGTCAGAGAGAGGAGCAGGTAGGGCAGAGGGAACAGTGAGAGAAAGGCTCTACTGTAGTGGTAAGTGTGGTATGTTAGGTAGCAAATGTAGCCGTGTGGTTGGAGGCCGCTCACGGACAGGGCAGTGGTGTAAGATGAAATCAGAGAGGTGAACAGGGGCCAGATCATGTCAAATTCTGTAATCCAGACTAAACAGTTGCGATTTTGGCTAAATGTGGTGGGAACCCGTTGGTGGATTTGAAGCCAGGAGTAACACAATCTTACGGTTATCTGAGGAGATACTGTGGCTGCTGTGTGGATAGGAAGCGAGGTGACATTTAGGGATGTCACTGTAGGAGCCCAGGGAAGGGGGCTTGATAGCACCTTGAGCAAGAGATTCTTACAGATCCAAGGGTATGGACAGATTTGAGGTATGTCTTAGGGGAAAGTTGGCAAGGCTTGCTCACGGATTGGCTGGATAAGAGAGGAATAGAGAGGAACAGAGGGTGACAATTAGGTTTTGGCATGAGCATCTGGGTAAGCATAGTGCCATATGCCGACAAAAGACAGGGTAAGAGAGAAGCTTGAGGAGGTCGTGGAACAGGGGCAAAGACAGAATTGAGATTTGTCTGTTGACCATTAGGTTTGAAATGGCTACTAAAAATCTAGGTAGAAACATTAAGTAAGTTACTAAACACACGTATCTGGAGCTCCGGGAGGAAGCGCAGGCTGGAGATGAGATGCTGGAGTAGTTAATGTAGACGTCCTATATAAAGTCTTAGAGCTGGATACATGAGAAGGAGCCCATTCAGATCCTGTGCAATCTGACAGGAAGGAACTACCGAAGAGAAGAGAAGGAGCAACCAGTGAGATAGATGAGATGCCAGGGGAGGGTTATGTCACAGAAGCTGAAAGAAGATGGTATTTCAAAAAGAAAAAGCAGAGTCGCCAGATCAAATGTTGCTGCGCAATCAAGTAAGATAAAGGCAGAAGCTTAAGCATTAGATTTGGCAACATAGGGGTCAAGGGAGAATAGGTTGTGCAGAACCCAATCTGAACAGGTTGGGAAGGCGAAGTGAGAGGCCAGATGCCCGTAGACAACTCAAGTATCCATGCCGTGAATGAGGGCGGGAAGAATGGAAGGAAGCAGGAGGAGGGGTGGGATGTGAGGTCAGGAGACACTAGGGAATGTATGCAGGTGGGGCTGATGCGGAACAGAGGGAGAACCTGGTGGTGCAGGAGAAAGGGAGGTCATTGTCATCACCATGATATCCCTGAGAAGGCAAGGCTCAGAATCCCAAGCACAGGTGGAAGGTTTGTCAGCTCTGGGTCAGAGCGGGGACACTTCCCCCATAGCAACAGGACAAAAGACAGAGAATACGAATACGGATACAGAAAGGCCCAAAAGCTGGCTGATGAACATGTTCCTATCTGACTGCTTCTGTGTCCTTAATCAAGTATGAGGCAAGACCAGGAGTGGAGAGTGAGGACAAGGAGGGGTGGTGTGGGAGGTTTGAGGGGAAGTAGGAAATCTCATTTTGGAGAGTGGGAAAGCACAGGTTCATACGGAAGGATTGCCACCAGGAAGATCTGAGCGTCTGTGTGAGATCTGAGGTTATAAATGGACAGTGAGGCAACCATCGTTACTGTTTTTCTCCACCAGTGTTCAGCTGCTTTTGCACAGAAGTGAAAGAGATTGCACTAAATGGAGACCCCCTAGAATGAGTAAAGCACAGTAGCCTGGAAAATTCGAATTTGATTTGACATCGATCAAAAGTTCATGCTCAAAACTGACCATCTTCCTTATTAAAATCATACTGTTCTTTAGACTTGGTGTTTCATTTGCTTATTGAGGCTCTAAAGTTGGAATGTTTTCATGAATAGAGATGTGTTCATTCTGAGTCTTGATTTCAAACAGTGTAGAATTATGTTAGAGAGATTGCTTGTCTGCTGTTATTATTCTTTGAATTGTAGCAACTGCTCAGTCAGAATTTGTTATTTTGTTACCACCCATAAAAAAATCAGAAATTAAAATGAGCAGGGTGGGGGCTGGGTAACTAATAGGATGGGGCTGAACCGAAAATGTGTGATCATGAAACACATGATCCGACTCCATGAGCCGTGGAGAGTAGCTGAGGTAAGAGAACAGTAAGCAAGCAAGCTTGACTTGGAGGAGAGAAGGAATTTTGTAAGTGCATACATATCTTCTACATTCAACTCAGGAGGGTTTGGTGTGTTTGTTTCTTGGCACGAGACACATGCCGTAAGGATGGGGATATGTTTTCTAAAACATACGTAAAAATACAATAGGAAAGATCAGAAAGAACCTGTGAATTTCAAATAATGGCGGTCTTAGCAGTGTAAGCTTAAATCCACTTCTACCCCAAGAACATCTGATGTTCCCAAATAATGTAAATTGTGTGTCTTTAAAACCAAGAAAATGCACAACCACGCTATGGAATCAAGAAGGCGGGGGGGGGGGTCTCAGTGAACTTGGAAATAGGACTCCCTCCTAAATCTGATGTGAAACAGATGTGAAGACCCAGGTATAACCAAGGTTGCAGTTTTAAGGAAAGACTGCCTTTGCCATTCAGGAAGCCATCCCAGCTGCTGTGCTGGAGTTTGCCACAGTGGCCAGGACAAGGGAGACATCGTAGGCACAATGGCCAACACCCAGGAAGCAATAGTAGCCACTTGACTAGAGACCAACCAAGGCCAAGATGTACACAGAAGGACTCTATGGAAGTAGACGAGATCACAGCCAAATGTCTGAGAGAGACCAGACAATGAAAAAGAGACAGTAATCTCAACAGATGCAGAACCTCACCCCTGAGGAATCAGACCAAGGAGTAAATGGCATTGGAACAAGCCTGTTTAATATTTTCAGAGAGATGAAGGAGAGAAATTATGGTCCTATAATAGGAATATGAAGTTAGAAACAAGAACAGGTAAATATTGAAAAGAATCATTAGAGGGGCACCTGGGTGGCTCAGTTGGTTAAGCGTCTGACTCTTGGTTTCAGCTCAGGTCATGATCTTGCGGTTTGTGAGTTCGAGCCCCACATCGGGCTCTGAGCTGATAGTGTGGAGTCTGCTTGGGATTCTCTCTCTCCCTCTCTCTCTCTGCCCCTCCCCTGCTTGCTCTCTCTGTCTCTCTCAAAATAAATAAATTTTTTAAAAAGAATCATTAGAGATTAAACACATTCAGAATAAACACAACTGAAGAGAGAATTACCCATCAGTAGGAGAATGAGTCAGCAACTTGTCGGATAATTGTACAGTGGCTACTAACCAGCGTTAGAGGGAATGAATAACACATTATGTTGAGAAAAAAGATAAGTCACAAAAGAATACATACTTTATGCTGCCACTTATATGAAGTTCAAGAACAGATAGAAACCAGGACAGGTGTGAGTTCTGGAGTGGGGAAATTGATGGAGAAGGAGAGCCAGGAGCTCTCTGAGATTGTGGAGATACTCTGCATCTTAACAGATGTCAGTTTTAAGGGTGTATACATTGTTCAAAACTTGATGAGTTGTATACCTAAATGTGTGCATTTTACTGCATGTAAATTTTGCCACAATTAAAAAAAATTAAACTTCTTTTAAAAAGCAAATTAGTGAGCTGGAAGATCAAGTTTGAAGACTTCTTCCAGATCTCACGACAGAGAAAACGAGATGGGAGATGCTAAAGAAAGCTCAGACAGTACATAAGCTTCATCCAAGAGTGCCAACACCTGTTCAGCAGGAGCGAGAGGAGCAGAGAGAAGAGGGGGGACGCACTGTATGAACAAACGGTG